CCCCCCCCCAAATTATACGTCTATGATGAAATTCTGAGTTTTAATTTCAGATCTAAATTCAGCATATCAAAATTACTAAAGTTCCTAAAACTTACGTTTTCAAGTTCAACCGTTAAGAAATAATTAGCAAAAACCCTACCACTGGGCTCCTCTTCAAGAAGGCGTAGCTCCGTAAGAGAGCATTTTTCGATACATGTTCATTTGAAAAATTAATATTATTTTTCAGAGCAGATTTCACTGTTTCAGTTTGGCCACCTAATTTCGGGACACCCTGTATAGAATTCAATATATGGTGCGCCAACAAATAGACAAAAGTGAAATTTCTAGTTTTAAAGGTTTTTAGGCTACTAATTTAAGGTGTTTTGTCACTATGCAACTTGGTTTGAGCGAAAAATTTCGCTCCAGTATTACGTTTTTTGACTGTTTTGTCTGATTATTTCCCAATGTTACTGTGCAAGTTCGCAAGCTAAGGAGTTAGTGCAGTTAAAGGCAAATTTAAGCTCTTTAACGGCTTTTCTCAAATCTTTTTAGTCAGATTCTTCTCATTTTCTTTTATTTGGCTCATCAGGTAAATGTGCAGGAATTTTGCAGATTCTGTATTAATTCACGTTTCTTCATTCACAATGTTTTGCACACCTTTGTGCTTTAGTGCGCTGAGGATTACTGCTTGCCTTTTTATTTCGCTTTTTATAGATGATTGATTGGATGATTGCTGATTTATTAATTTCTATTTATTGATTATTATTAGATTGACAACTTCACTTTTTCATTGTTACACACCAAAAAACACCAGCACAAAAATAATGATAGTACGCCGAACTGACACGTTCATAAATGTTCTATCCGCGCCAACATGCCGCCCGCCTTGAAAGCCTCAGGTTTCAATGTCCAAAGGTAGTATGCACAGCTTCCTTGCAGGTCGTTGAATGGTGGAAGTAGCCGTTCTGACTGTAGCTGCCCTTACAATACCGTCCGACCCAGGTTGGACAGATATCACACGTCCTAGCAACCACTTGAGAGGTGGAAGCCC